ATAGATAGATAGATAGATAGATAGATAGATAGATAGATAGATAGATAGATAGATAGATAGAATACTTCATTGATCCCACAGTGGGTAAATATACACATTACAGCAGAAAAAAGGGAAAAAGCACAAGCACAGAGGCATAAAGTTTATTTACAATGCAACAAAATAAATAAAGGTAATTTATAAGGGAGAGTTATTAAAATATAATATTTATTAAAATATTGACTAATAATTTATCATATTTATATTTATCTAATTTATATAATATTTATTTAATGTATATTATTTATATTTATTTAATTTATAATATTTCTATTAAAATAATTAGATGGGGTTTTCAGGAAGGGATGGAAGGCTCAGCTTATTTTTACGTTCATAATTCCCTCTTTTCTTTATTTTCTGTTTTTCAGAAATGGGGCACGGAGCCTAAATTAAAATATGCCAAAATCGAAGCAGTGTCCCCCGAAACGAGCCCCCATCTTCTGAGCCCTCCCGCGCCGATAGACCCGAATCCCTGCCAGTACTTTCCGCCAGCAGTTCCTGAAATCCCCCTCGCGAGCCCGGTGCGATTTCCGCCTGCCCCAGCTCCTCTGGCCCCCATGTCTTTATTCCACTGGCAAATCCAACAAGAGGCCCAGAAAGTGGAAACGCTGTCGGCCGAGACGCTGAGCATGCAGGACTCGGACAGAGACACGTAGGTGTTGACGGGTCAAAGTCCTTCATTCCTAACAGAGGAACCTGCACTGTGTGATTTTAACTATTTCCTCCTAAAAACAGCCAGGATTGAGGCAGGAAAGCAAACTAATGGGATTTAAAATTGGTATGAAGCAGTTTTATAGTAGCCTGAAAAGTAATCAGATGCTAGTTTTCAAACAGGAAGAGAAGGACTCTATGCTTGAGGACCAACGGTTGAAATATCTTAAATTATAGTTATGTAAAAGAATCGACTGATGCTTTTAAAACGGACACGTAGCAGTTACGATTAGGACATCTTTTACCACGCTATTTTGCGTAAAAGTCCCTTTTTTTAAAACTTGCTGTGTAAAACTTACTGACGTAATGCAGCAAGAAGAGAAGGAAATTCAGTTTCAGACCTGAAAAACACAAAACAAAGTGAACTAGAGGAGGGAGAGGTGAAGCCGCCGAGGCATAAAAAGGTAATCCTATCAGATCTTCCAACACGAACAACGGGCCAGAACAAAATAAAATTCCTCGGGGGACTTCCACAATCACAAAACCGTAAAGTTCTCAATTTACAGATCACCGTCAAACCAGCAACTCACTCTTATCTTGATAGAATTGCCATAGTGAAGAAAAAAACAAAACACACACACACACACCATTTCTTTATGATTTGAAGATAATATTGAATGAAAATCAGCTTTTTTCTAGCAATAGGTCCGTTTTTGGCTGCTGTGCTACCAAAGCCAACACATTCTGTTGATTTCCCGAAAAAGAAAAGTTTTACATTGTGAATATGCTCAAACTGTCAGACTCGTGGCATCAGAGGTGACTCAAGGCTGTGTCAACATTAAAAAAAACAAAAAAAGATCCTCAGCGGTCCTTGAAAGCCTTAGAAAATACCGTACTCCAGCTTCCTTGTTGCTCGGCCACACAACAAATAGCCTCAGTCGGCACTGCTGGGGGACTGGTTAAAAGTTGACAAACTAATCTTTAAAAGGTTTGGATGTGCTTAAAATGTTTTTTAAAAAAGCTCAAAATCTCCCTGTAACTAACCCAAGGTAAAAAAAAAAACATTTGTCCCAGCTTGAATTTTTAACTAAAAACAGTTAAAAAGGATTAAAAAACAAAGAAAAGGGGGCATATTTTTTTGGCTTGATGGAAATTAAAAGGCAAAAGCTAAATAAACTAACTATTGGCTATTGGCTGGTTTCTCCAGGTTTCTCCACATCGCAGTGGCCCAAGGGAAACGCGCCCTGGCCTACGTTCTCGCCGCCAAGATGGCCGGCTGCGGCTCTCTGGACATCAAAGAACACAACGGACAGGTATAAACCCTCCCTAAACCCCTTCAGCGTAACAAAACAGAAGGGTCAGTTTCATATTGGCGTCTCTTCCGTGCGCAGACGGCTCTCCAGATCGCGGCCGCCACTGACCAGCACCTGATCGTGGGCGACCTCCTGACCCACGGGGCCCAGATCAACACCCGGGACCTGTGGGGGCGCTCTCCCCTGCACGTGTGCGCCGAGAAGGGACACCTCCTCAGCCTCCAGGTGGGACGCCCCCCGCCCTTAAAGTGTCCCGAATTAGCCTCAGTGAGACGGAAGTCGCAAGTACTGAGTCTGGTTGTTAAATACCCCCCCCCACAGGGTTCATTTTCTGTGGCCCGATAGGGTTATTTTTATTTTCCCCACTGGGAAATTGAAAGGTGAACGTTACGCAAATCGTGAAAACGCAAATAAAACCGCTATGCTATTCTGGTCTGACTGAGGGATCAAACGGGAAGTAAAATACACATATTTGCTATGCAAAAATGAGTTGTTGGTCAACAAAAAAAGCCCCCCAGAGCTTCCTCGACAGCGGCGGGAAGGACCTTTTAGGGAATACGTGTTGGAAAAATGTTTTTATTTCGATAGATTGCACTCCAAGGGGAAGAGCCCAAAATTTGTGGAGGTTAATGTCGGAAAAGAGCTGAGTTTTTTTTTAGGAAAATGTCCAACTTTGTGCACCCCGGTGTCTTCAGAGGGAGTGGAACGGGGTCGTTTCTCCAGGTTTGACGTGAACCGTGCCACGTACTTACTTCCTGGATGCTCTTTGTTGCTTTAGTTAACTTCCAATAAACCGATCTTTTTCCCCCCCGCCGTAAACACGAGCATAAGCCCCCCCGTGTTTAAGGTTCTGACCCGTCACCAGCAAAACTGAAACTCAGCTCATCTCCCCGAGGTCGAGAAAATTTGAAGCCGGTATTAATTACAAAGTCTGTTAAATAAACCCCTTTGACACATCACGTGAGGGGAAAAAAAAACAAAAACTTGGAAGCGCCATTTAAAAATGGACACAGGCAAGGAAAAACTTCCTGTTAAAAGGATGTTTTTCCTTGCCTGTGTCGCCTAGTGCTTGCTCATGGTGGGAATTGTTGGGTTTCTGTAGTTGACTTCAGAGTAGGGTCTGACCTTCTCTGTTTGGAAAGCGCTGTGAGACAACTGTTGTTGTGATGTGGCGCTATATAAATAGAATTGGAAAAAAAAACAACACATTTTTTAAAAAAATCTCATGTTATTTCTGTAGACCATCTGGAAGACCCTTACAGGAAGTGGCCAACCCCTCGAAGCCGACATGTTCAACTATGACGGTGAGTGCGTTTGATCGTCTAAATGACGCAAATATTGTACTTAAAAGCGTTTTAAGTTAATTCCGGATGCTCCGCGTACGAAGGCCTGACCCCGCTCCACACCGCCGTCCTGTCCCACAACGCCGTTGTCAAGGAGACGAGGCTCCTGGAGAACCCCTGCCGCTACATGACGGCCGAGCTGGCGCAGAAGCGGCGGGTGTACCTGGAGTGCGTCCGGACCCTGATGAACATGGGGGGCCACTACGGGGTGAAGGTGAGCGTCCCCCGGGCTCGGGTCGATCGTCAAAGCGGGCGGAGTCAAAAACGAATATGTCCGCCGCCCGCAGGATCTGAAAAGCGGACGGACCTGTCTACACATGGCGTCCGAGGAGGCCAACGTGGAGCTGCTCGGCCTCTTCCTGGAACAGCAGACCTCGCTGGCTGTCGTGAACGAAAAGGTACACGTAGAAATGACGGACGGCTCCCGTTGTGGGTTTTACAGACCAACAAATCCATTCGTCTTGACCCTAAGCCAAGGTCAAACCTACCCTGTGTGTTTAAAGATGACCAAAAAAAATTTCCTTCACCTCCACATATATTTTTGACTTATTTTTGTAATATCTCATACAAAATTAATTTAAAAATATGAGAGAAAACCGTTTTTAATCTGTATTATTTGGCTGTTAAACAAAAAAATCCCACGTGCTTCATATTTTAGAACTGAATTCAATTGAATCACTTTGGTATTAATTAGTCACTTTTAGACTGTTATTACACAGTTAAGGGCTATGCTATACACGTTTTTACCATAACCCAAAAATGTTGTGGGCAGTTTGATCTCAGGCTGCATGTCTTTGGGTAAGAACACGAAGAAAATATTTATCTTTATGATTGAAAAACTTTAAAGAGTCAAATCCTTTGGAACAAAAGAAAACAATGCTATTTTTTTTATTTTGGGGTAACGAGGAAATGCGAAGCTCCCGGCCTCCCGCGAAAAATACAGATTTTTTTATTTTATTTAATTTTTTCCCTCGTTTCCGTTCCAGACGTTCAGCGGCAACACGGCCCTACACGTGGTCAGCTCCCTGCAAAAGCACCCGGCTCAGGCGGAGGCGGTCAAGCTGCTGATGAAAAGAGGCGCCGACCCGGGAAGCAGGAACTGCGAGAACGAGCAGCCGTCCCAGCTGGTGCCCGAAGGACCCCTCGGCGAGAAAGTAAGGCTTTTAAAATGGGGGAAACTATGATATATAACTAAATTGTGGAGCTTTTTCTGTTGATATATTAACGCGCTGCTTTGTTTTTTGTTTTTTTCAGGTGCGGCGGATCCTTAAAGGGAAATATATTTATATTTAACTCGAGTTTCAGAACACTGTCAGTCAGACAGTCAAGTTTATGAAGATCATTTGTCTAAACATGGCAAATAGTGGTTGTTTCAGTGAAACATTGCAGTTTGTTTATTACTATGTAATACTTACAAAAAAAAGAAAAAAGACAAAAAGACCCAAAAAAAAAAGAAATAGTGTATCTGAACTTTTGTGGAGATTGTAATATAAGTGTGTGTTTTTTCTGACTTTTTGCATTATGATAAACTCTGTAAGATATAACCGCATTGGTGGATTATAGGAGTAATTTCTGTACAAGATTTAATGCCTTGAAAAATACAAATTTAGGAAAATGTGACTAGGTGTATGGATGGACATGTGGAAAGTATATACCTTTTTTCCCGATCTAGTTTAAAAACAAATTGTGTTCTTTTTAGCCTTTCTTTGCCAGCTTTCCCTCTGTGGTGGTTTTATATAACGTGTGCTGACCAAGTACTCACTCCAAAGCATTTAAGCGTGATGTCGGATGGTGAACTTTACGGAAATCGCCGAGTTTAAATTCAGATATTGTACATTGTACAGTTTGTTTTTTCCCCCAGTTTATATGTATAACTAAAACACTAACAACTGTGGAAATCATACTTTATTGCAAAAATAAACGTACTTTGCATTGATCTGAGTTAATTACTTCATTTTTAGCTTTAAATATAACGTCTCATTGACTTTTGGCATCACTGTTCTTCCAGAAATTACAGATTACTGTCAGTGCCCCAAAAAAACAAACAAACATTAAGCAGGTTATTTTTTTTGTTTCGTTAAAGACAAAAAGTGAAGTTAGACTGTCAAGGTACACACAAATAATTTGTCAATTATAAATATAGAAAAAAAAAAAAAAGATGTTGATTGGCAACTCCTCCGAATCTTGACTTTCATCTGATGTGCACACGCGCACATACACAGCTGAAAGATCCCTTTTTGTCCGCACAGGGTGCCCGAGCTTCTGCTCCTACTTCTTCTTCTTCTCCTGCGTGCTGGTGAACCACTGGTCCAGCAGCTTCTTGCTGTAGTAGATCTGCCAGGCGTGCACCTGCACGGCCACCACGATCACCAGGTACATCACCCACACGGCCGAGAAGCCGAAGATGAAGCGGTAGGCCTTGCCGTGGCGGTACAGCTGCTGGGCCACGGGGAACATCTCCATCCCGCCGTAGAGGAGCGGCGCCACGCAGAACAGCCCCGCGCTGATCATGGAGATCACCAGGTAGCTGATGTTGTTCCGGGGCAGCGCCAGGAAGCTGAAGACGGTCGGGGCCACGCTCAGGAGGTAGGGGTACTCCCACTGGTACGGCGAGGCCACGATCTTGTGAGACACCAGGCCCAACTGGCTCACCGTCACCTGAAACGGTACAAAAAATGAGTCACAACTATTAACTGATCATAAAATATTTTTGAAAACTAATCCTTAGGGGTCTGTCCTCACCTGAGCAGCCATCAGGATCCAGATCAGCAGATGCACAATGTTAAGTTTACGGATTTCAGACTTCAAAGCGACGCTGTGAATAAAATTTTAAAAAAAAGAGACGGTGTTAGGGGGAAAGTTACAAGAAATAAAAGACAGAATAACGCCCGGGGAAACAGACAAACCTCATCTGATAGTGATTTGCAACCCGTTCTCGGTGTTGAAAGTCACTGCCGTCTGTGCCTTCTGCTCTCGGACCTGCCCGGGAAGCCATGGTGGTTTTCTAAGTACATAAAAAAAAAAAAGAGAGAAGGAAAAAGTCAATGTCATTGTTCATTATCCAAAAAATATTGCTTTATAAACATGCACAAACATTTCCAATCTCTGTTTCCTTTCAATATTCAATATAGTTGACCTGCATTTTACCCCTGTTATGCCAAACTAATTTTATAAATGAGTTTATCATAGATATAAGGCAATAAGACCAACACATAAATCTAAGAACAAGCACTTGGGATGACCCTTTCCTCTGATTTGAACAGAATAGCTTCCTTCACAGCTGTTTTGTTCTACCGTTGCTAAATTAGCTTTTCTTAACCAAAAGTTCCAAGACCGTTCTTTCCGTCAAGACAATACGATATTCACAGTTGCTTTATTTGATATAACGTGTCGAGCGTGCAAGTTAAGGCTGAAATAAGCATTTTAGGCAATTTATAACGCAGCTGGCTTTAGAGCTAATACGAATTTCACTAGCTAGCTGTTAGCCTCTGACAGCTAGCAGTTAGCCTCTCACAGCTGGTTGAAATAAGTGAGTAATAGAGCCGTGATATCACCGCTTGTCAATTGTGACGCTTACCTTTCTTATTTCCTCGTGTTTAGAAATATAATTTATTTATTAGAAAAGAGAAAAGTGGTTATCAAAAGGTGGCAACGGTGCAGCAGGCTAACTAGATAGCAACGGGGATGAATGAGAGAGGGCAGAGGTGGGGAGTAATGACGTGTCATATTCTAATTGGTTACTTTCCTGTCTATACTCAGCTGGGGGGGCGGGGAAAAAAGGTCATCTGTTGTTTCTTTCTCTCTTTTTTTTGTAACCTTGTCCTGTTTAATATTATGGGCAGTAGGACTAAAATCTGAGTATCGTGCTCTGCCGAACACTTAGTGGGTCAACGTTGATTATCAAGTATCGCTTTTATATTTATTTTTGTTTTAAAAAAAACTTTACATGTATCCAGTAATAGCAAACCTGACTTCCTGTAGTCTCTGTGGGTCATCCAGATGGATGACTTTTAGAAGGACCTGCAAATTGATACAGGGAAGACAAAAAAAAAAAACAAGCAACAAAAACCACTGGCAGCAATAACACCAGTAGCCAGGACATTAAGTAGCATCTCAGAACTGGGGAAATGTGTGTGAGCACACACACACCCTTAATTGCACTCTACAGCCCCTGCAACCATGTAAAATGTTCATGTAAAATTGGGTTTTGGTGTCCTGATGCTTTTGTTTTTTCTGGAGAGTGTTTGTTTTATTAAATATCACTTCAAAGGACCAACTGTTGTAATTACATGCTAATATCCAAGAAGTTAGGTCCACTTCCAGTAGTGTGCGAGTGAACCAAACCAAATTAAGGTGTGAACTTTTCCACTCTGAGCCCAACTGAACATTACGAGACCTGCTGTCAAAATCATTTTCAGATATCCTTCTCTTGTGTGGGGCAATTAAATTGCTAATAGATCAAGTTTTGATCGTTTATGTATTTTTTTTGTGTACATTTAATGGAAATGATTGGCTTTAAAAACCTGTTGACATCAAACATACAATAGAAATTGTGAAAACGATATGTGGTTTCAGGCAGCCATCATGACAGATATCAGGTAAGTTTTCAGGTGTTGTTTATTATTGATCAAAACAATTAGATGGAGGTTAGCTAATAGGGTCCCTTATTTAGAGAAGTGCATTGATGCAGGTTGTCAGTCATCTGTTCCGCCATTAAGAAAGAATGAGTTCTCCAATCTGTTGAAAGTCAAACTCTGACTTCACTTGTGCAAGCGGTAGAAAGCTTCAATATGTTGCTAATTATGATCATGTTTTGAATGCATTTAACAATATACCTAACAAAAAGGTAAATAAGAATATACTTTATGTACAGTATTGAATTAAGTCATGAGCACCACAAAAGAGTAGTAGGATAGAAGAATTTAATTTTAAAATGTGAATTCAATCAATTGGAGAAAAGGCATACAATAAAAGAAAAAAAAGCATCTGTGAAAAGAAATAGGGAGGGAATGTCTTTCAATGCAAGTTTCACTTCACTCTATCAAAAAATTGTGCACTTGATGTATTCACTTAACAAAACAAAACAACACAAGACAAATCCAAAAAATCAGTAGTTAAAAAAATAAAAATAAATTACCAAAAATACTGACAGACACATTTCAAACTATTCAAAATCCGTCACAATAAAAACAAGACAAATCTACATTGCATCATTACAGACGTCAGAGTGTCAACAGGCTAAATGAAATGCTAGGTCACGTTCCAAATGTTTTCCATGTTTTTATGTGGAGACAAACATAGTTTGAAATTCTGTAAAATATTCGAGTAAATGGTTGTTTTACAGCCTGATGATCATGGAATTAAAATGGAAAGTTCACCAAGAAGAGCATGTCTATCCGAAGGTTGGTGGTCCTACTCCCAGCATTCCAAAACACGTTGAATTGGGTCGTTTCTAATTGTCTTGCATCTTTGTTGAGTTGTGGCCTTGTGTTTGATTTAGATATTTCTTTTTTTCTTGTTTTTAGGTAACTTGCCCTTTCCTCTGTGTTTCCCGTTGGTCTTATTGTCCGTCCCACCCTGGTGGTTTCCACCTGTTCCCCATGCTGTTGAGTGTGAACATATATATTGTTTGTGTTTCGCTTTGTGCTGTTTTAGTTAAGACAACCTATGCTCGCCCATGCCAAGTTTCACGTCATATCAGGTCCTCTTTGCTACTCTGCTTGTGCCTTGTGTTATTTCGATAATTCGTTTTGCTCATAAGGGTGATTTAACGTTCACATTTTTTCATGAAACTTTATTTATTTGTACGATGTCTTATAATGTGACATCTAGTCTGAAAGTGTTTTGAGTGGTCAGCTAAAGTAAAAAAGCGCAATATGAGAGCTATTTACCATTTTTAATGAACATATGCTTTTATGTGCCTAGTATACAGTTCTTAACTGAAAAAGACAATGTAATATAAAGTTTCAAGCAGTTATATCCATCATACTATGAACACAGATAAATGGTTTGTGAATGTGTATAAGAATATTGATCAATGCAAATGAGTGTAGGAATTATATTATTTATGTGTTTTTTTTTATCTTTACCGTCCTAACTGAAATCCAACATTTCATTCTTTGCTTTCTACATATCAATGATTATAACGACATGTGATACACCAATGAAGAATCATTTATTTGACATAGGCTGCAACAGTGCAAAAATGATTTTTCTTGGCCAAGATTGACTGTAAACCATTAAACTTTGCTGATACCAAACCATCATGGTAAAAGTACAGTTAGCGTCTCAATGTTTAAATGTCAATACATTGAATACAGTAAGTATCCAGAAAATGTAGAGTGAACATACTGACTGGCGTAAAGTCCTGACGCCTGGTCCGATGGTAGCTGTATATGCACGGTGTCTCCTTTCCGTAACGGGAGTACGGCACTCCCTGAAGCCTGATCCAGCAAGCCCTTTTTGTACTCGTCATAAGTGTACATGACTGGTTCATTGTTCTTCATCAGTGCCACCCACACGTTACCTCCTTTGCAGTGAACATGGTAAGCAAAATAGTAGATTCCAGGTAGGCTGCATGTAAAAATACCATTCTGGGGATTGTAGTCTTGATTGCCGTTGTACAGGAGTTTGTCAAAGATAACCGGAGATCCAACAAGAGGAAAGGGATTAGTGAGCTTTGCCGCAAATGCAGGCATTTCCAGACCACCCCCGCTTATTTCGCCTCCATTCAGTTGTTTTTTGTAACCTTGGCCATTGAATGGGCCACTGTGAGGGAGAACCCGTCCGAGATCCGAAGTTACGGCTGGCATTCCTGGAGGGCCAGGGGGCCCAGGCTGTCCTGGTAGTCCTGGAAGTCCAGGGGGGCCACTTGGACCAGTGCTACCTTGTGGACCAATTTGACCTGGGGGTCCTGAATTTCCCTCGGCAGGATAACCAGGGTTACCGGGTGGTCCTATATCACCTTTTTGACCTGGTAGCCCAGGAGGTCCAATTGGTCCCCCTGGTCCTGTAAGTCCAGGAATGCCTTGTGGTCCTTGATGGCCTTTATCCCCGGTTTCTCCTACCTCTCCTCTTGGTCCTTGCAACCCTCCAGCGCCTGGGGTACCAGGTACACCTCTAATGCCAGCTTCTCCTTTGGGGCCAGTGGGCCCTTGTATTCCCCGTGGTCCAGGTTGGCCACCCTCTCCTGACCTTCCAGGCTGTCCTGGTATTCCTGGAAGCCCTGTTTGACCTTTTATTCCTGGATTTCCTCTCGGGCCTCCAGCACCATCTTCTCCCTTCTGTCCTGGGAAGCCAAGACTACCAGGAGGCCCGGTGAGACCTGGTGGACCAGGAATTCCATTTATACCAGTGGGACCAATAACACCGGGAATACCTACATGCCCTTTATCCCCTTTGGGACCTGGTGTCCCTGGAACACCAGAATGTCCCTTATGACCCTTGGGTCCTGGAAATCCAGGTGTACCATAACCTGGCAACCCGGGAGGACCTATTAAACCAGGAGGACCTTGTTCCCCTTTCCCTCCAGAGAGCCCGGGCTGCCCTCTAAAACCATCTTTTCCCGGTTGTCCAGCTCCTGGTAATCCTGGTATCCCTGGTTGTCCTCTCTCACCGGGTGGCCCTGTCAACCCTGATTCTCCGGGAGAACCAGGTTTTCCTGGTATCCCTGGTTGACCAGGTTGGCCATTAAGGCCGGTTTTACCTATACCAGGGAGGCCCACTTGGCCAGGTGGACCTGGTGGTCCACCGGGTCCTTTCAAGCCTGGAAAACCAGGTAAACCAAGTCCTTTGTCTCCCTTTGGGCCTGGAGTTCCAGGAAACCCAGGCTGACCTTTTTGACCAGCTTCCCCTGGAGGACCTGGCAGTCCTGGTAATCCCTGACCTCCTGTTTTTGAAATCCCAGGGAGTCCAGTGGGACCTGGGAGACCTTGAGGACCCGGAAGTCCCGTTGGCCCTTCACCACCGCTTGGACCAAGGTCACCTTTTGTTCCTGCGGGTCCAGGTCCTCCGGGTTTTCCCGGCAATCCTGGCATACCAGCTTTTCCATTTCCTCTGTAGCCCTGAGGACCAGGGGGCCCTGGTTTTCCTGAAGGACCTGGCAATCCCTGACCCGGAGGCCCAGTTGGACCTTGTGGTCCTGGTGGTCCTGTTGGTCCTGGGGGACCCTGAATTCCTTGCGGCCCAGGTCTGACACTATCTCCACCAGGAACAGGTACAGGTGGACCTTTAGCTCCTCTAGGGAAAGTTTGTCCTGTAAAAAATGAAAACATACAAAATGTGAACGACTATAAGTTAAATTAGTATAAGTTATAAAAGTGGAAGATCTTTTGTACTTTGGACAACCTTTTTTAGAGTATAAGACGACAACACAGAGAAAAAAACCTGAAGACAATGTCTGATTGCAAATCCATTTAAAAAAAATTAGATGTAATCCCATTTCATAAAACACAAAACCTGTATATAATGATATACATAAAATTATGTCACCTTTGCTGTTGGTCAGTGGTGTCCGTTTGGCGATTTGGGGCGGCATCTGAGGAAAGTCTTTTCCAAATTGAGCGAGCAATGGAACATCTTTGCCATAGGGTGAGTTTGGCATGTCGTTTCCAAGAAACTGCTGCTGAGGATATCCATCACTGTACTGGGGTAAAGGCTGGTGCTGTTGAGGGGGCTGTTTCTGGCCATAGTACGCCCCACCATGAGCCATGTGCACCAAACATAGCTGGAGCACTGAGAACAAACTGTTGTAGAAATGTGGCACGGCAACCCTTTTCTGTAGTGGAAAATTGACAGAAAAAGGAAAGAATCAACACATTTTGACTATAGATAATGAGTATGTATCGGCTATCAACGAACTAAAGAATGCTCTAACTATAGGATTAACTTTCATGTTTTTCACCAATCAAACTTAGTGTAAAAACTCAAAACATATAGCTTTGATGCGAATGATCTTTCTTGTCTCATCTCTTTCTAATTAAGAGGCACCACTGGGATGTTTTTCGTGTTTGAACACGATCCTCCATCCTGGAAACTTGACTGTTGGAGAATGATCTGCTAAGAGCTGCCAAGAGCGCCGCGTGAAAATAAACACGAATAGATGAATGGATGTTTTCCTCCGCTGTGGTATTTGTGTGGTCTGAAACCAGAACCGATAAGATCAAAGATTTTGGAAAAAACGTCTCTAATTAAAGTACGATTTGCTTTCATTTTTCATGATCAAATTATAAAAGAAAGCAATCCGAGTGGTGTCTGACTTGATGTCAACGATAGATTACGAGTCCCCGTCTGTGCAGTTTGTAAAAACATTGAGCACATGGTTGTTAGCGTATTTACGTAGCCAGCGGTACTCCATAAATCTCAAAGTAAAATCCAAAATCAAGCGGCAAAACCTGTGCATGGAACCATCCATTTTTGCCAATTTTGAGGGAATTTTATGGCAGAGATGTTACGACACATTTACTTTTAGAATATGGTTTAATTCACCGAGAAGGTTTAAAAAAAAAAACTTTGATCATGCATTACTCAAAATAAAGAATCTTTATATAAAACCAAAAGTTATCGAATTGTATGTGTACCTCTTAGATAAAAGAAAGTAATCTTATTGGTCTTTACTTTAAACCTATTTATTTAACATAGAGATCCATTCATATCTTTCAACCTGTGCCTCTTTTTTGTGATTTATTGCAGCAAAAAAAACAACAAAAAAGCAACTCTCACCATGGCTGGGTGTTGATCCTTTTGGCCGACACCTACTGGCTCTCTCCTCCCTGTTAGGTTGGCGTGTTGGCTCTTCTCCGCTGCATGAGTGGGACAGTGGCCATCCACGGGATCTTGCCAGGAGTCGGGCTTTGCAGTCCTGTCGGGCTCTATGAAAACACACGCGTCAGCCCGAAGGACATTTGGTGGTTCACTTTCCCAGAGGCCTGGTTTTTCGGAAACATTAATCTGCCATCTGGTGAACCTCATTTGCCCACTTTATTATAATCCTGGACGATTATTTGCTTTTATACGCACATTATAAACTATATCTCTGTCTAAAGTCTAAAGATGACTGTTTAATTTTATGTTTATTACTCTCTAATCAGACATATTGACTATATAAGTTTCTAGCTGCTTCTTTCAGGCCAGCAAAAGCAGTCTGAGAGTAAATAACTGCTTTTTATTTATTTATTTATTTTTACAAATAGAGGAGTGGCGATAGCATCTGTTTTGTATAATATGACATCATTTAAACTTCAGATTTCACAGCCCCTTTATCTCTTGATTGAAACAGACCATTATATTTTGTTATCAATCATTGTGAAATTATTATTTATCTTTTTTTGTTATCTCCTAGTCCATCTGAAGTGATTGGAAGCTTGTCAAACCCTAGGCCCTACATCAAATCTTTTTGATTAACAGTCATTTATATCCACAAACTGTCTATAATAGTGTTGAGAGATGAAGTGAAAAGTGGACATTTCCACAACAGCTAAAATAATATTTAAAAGGAAAATCTTATGGTGCCAAATGGTGTTAGATGTTATTTAGATATGTATTTTGGCCAAAAGGACGAGGTATTTCCTTTTTTATTCGGAAATGAGGTAAGATGGTTTCAGCCCCTGTGTTTTCTCGGTTGCCGAGGTCAAAAGTACTGGGAAGATTAGACAAATGAATCCATCTGAGGAATGAAAAACAAGCTCTTCTCTCTGCTTTGTTGGGCCTGGAGTGCGTAGACATAGAGAACTCCGAAAGTCAGTTGCCCTCTCTGAAAATCTCATTTTCATCTTTAACATTGAAAATTCCAGATAGTCCTCAAACTAAAACTTCTCTGTTCTTCATGTCTTTCTGGTAAGGGCCTTCTTAATGTCGCTATTTCTACAACGTTCCATATTTTAATGCGAAAAAAAGGTGAATTGTGTTAGACACTTCACCTTTAATTTGCCAGAGGTTGATATACGGAACTAGGGGGATCTCACTTTAGCATTAAACAGTAAATGATCAACTCCATAACACTTTCTCAAATATCAGTAAAAAGGTTCACCGGATAAAATATGAAGCAACAATTTTTTCCCACATGTCCAAAACATATTTGCACGACAATTAACGCAAAGATGTTACATAAAGCTGTTGTTTTAACATGTTTTTTGTAATTCAAATCAGACATCTGTTACCATCGTCAGTGAAAGGTATTTTTGTGTTTTTTTTGCTTCTTGTTCTTAAAGAGTTTTTCTTGTCTTTTTGGTTATTTGATGATTTTTTAACTTGTTTTCTTAACTTGTTTTCTGCTATTAGCTTTGAGTTTCTTGTTTTTTATCGCTTAGTTAATTGTTCTTTGGTTATATGTTCAGAGTTTTTTTTGCCTCGCTATCTCTCTCTGTTAAGACTCCCCGTCACGTCTTGTTTGGCCGCCAGAGATGGCGGTCCCCATTTCAGTGGGCGGGGCTAACATGCCACGCCCGGCCACATCCGCCCACGCCCCTGCTGGGAAACCCTTTGCTATGCAGACTATAATTTCGTAGCCTGCCCAGGGGTATACACCATTTTTGATACTGTGTAGCCACAATTCCAACTTCCAGTGTGCGTCTACTTGTCAACGTGAGTTCGATGTCTTTGATTTGCTTCTTTTTGTTTTTTTTAAGTTACGAATTAAATGTGATCTTCAATTGCTTTCCTATTCCGTTTGAGAAGCTTAACTGGGCCATGTGGCAAGTGTTTGACACGTTAATACGATACGGTGAGATGCACTGAGGCGTTATTTGATCAGAATACTTATTTGATTGACACCATTGGTGATATATTGTTTGTTTGGAAGTTTCCCAAACAGTTTCTTCCGTCTCTTCTGTGTTTAAGCAGTTTAGTCTTATCACTCTTGTCAGATCGTTGCCGTTTGTTACTTTTGTATTGGTCCCCATAGGCTTCTTGTCCCTTTTTTTTGTCTTCATTCCCACTGATCTACAAGATCTTTTGGATATTATGTTACTCTTAAGAATTTTGTCAAACTTTTTTTCTTCGATTATTTGGCTGGGCTGCACTTTTTGTTGGATAATAAAAAAATAAAAAACCTGAGCTAATTCATTTCCCCCCTTCCTCTGCCCAAAAACTGGTCCGCACCTGGATCCTCACCATCAAGGTCTAAAGTTGTCAACGTATTTTCTCTGAGTGACTTCAACCTGGCTCCCTGGCATAATTTTGTCAAGGGCAGTTTCTAAATGTGCGATTCGGATTAACATGAATGATCATGTTAGGTCTGATCAAAGTCAAACATGGCAATCACAGAAAAATCATAAAGAATGTGGGGTTCCCAAAGGTAATTGTGGCCACAAAAGTGTTAAGAAGTTTTCTTCTCGTTCCAGATTCTTGTACTGTTTCACAAGCCTTTTGTTGTATTTCATATATTGAGCTTGTTTTGTGGTTATATAACAATTTTCCTTGTTCAAATGCACAACTCCATCCTCACAACGTTTTGTGGTCTTATCGGACTTAGCTGTTCATTAACAATCAGATTTGATTTGTCCACAAAAACATTCCTTTCTCTTATATCTGAAAGCAAATGATTTATTTCTCTTAAGCTACCAATTACTCATAGTATGACGAGGCTTTTATTACAGAAAGCTCGTATCTGTATGGAACACAGACAGAAGCTGTGACAGAAAGTATTGAATTATAAGGACATCACTTTGGAGAGGAAATGGGAAGAATATATATATTTTGTAAACAAATGGGGAAAAACTAAGACTGGAAAGATATTTTCAAAGTTCTTCCTCTACTGTTTTAACAACCGAACATTTTCACATCCTCCTTGTGGGACGCAGCACGTTTTAGGCTTTTAGGGGAGACAATATTAGCTACAGTTTTTTTCTTTGAATATTTTTTTTCATCCCTAGGTTGGTTTCCTTTCAGGGTGGTGGTTAGACAGGTGTCGTTTCAGTAATGTGGTCTTTAGCTGTTTTTTCTCTGACTAAATTAGCAAATAATCCAATTTTTGGGATGTATTTGTGGGTCCGGACATAAGGTTGAGGAATGGTTGGTTTAAACAAGCATCAAAGTTATTTTACCTCTCTATTTTATCATCCATTACAGGCCTGAAGTGCTAAAAAATGTGTATACTCAATAGTTGAAGGAAGACAGAATACTCTGAGTAATATAGATGGAATCAAGACCTGGAAACACACAATTTTTCCTCTTTTTAGAATTCCACTTTTTATACCATATCGCTTTATTTGAGTTGGGGCACAAATGTTCTATTTATGTTTAAGCACAACTTGAGTTTGGATTAAAAAATGAAATCCCATGCAAACTACCCAGCCCAAAAAAAGACCCCTCAGCCCAGAATAGGCTGAGGCTTCTCCGAACCTCTTTGCCAACATTTACAGCCCCGGTTCCCAGCTCTCTTGGTGACGGGCCACAAGTCTTTTATCACCTCCTACTTGGCTTTGAAAATAATCAAGTTTCCATCCGTCCTCCGTGTTCTGCTCTTGACAGATTCCAGATGGAGGATTCTACTCCTTGATAAACAAATGAGGAGAAAAAGCAAAGGCGTATCATCGCTCACAGGCACGGATGCTGGTCCTAATTGCCCGTGGTCGGGCCTGGCTTTGAATTTAACCGAATTTTAGAATTATTCTCCGATAATTTATAATGAATAGTAAATAATAGATCAGGACATGTACTTAATCCGTTCAAATCTTGGGCTTTGGAATGGAATGGAATGACATAAACTTTTACATACTGTGACCCATTTCAACTTATTTTTTAAAATAAATGTCAGCCCCTCATAAATGGTTGCGCTTGCTGTTATAAAACTTCTAAAACTGAACTTCTAAATCATGAAAAAAAGACATTTAAGTGTTTTCTCAGCGTTCCGGGAAGGAATGCAACCATCAGGTGACAGCAGCTGGAAGAGCCAGGATAACATCTGGGGAATGCACCTGTGTGAGTGTGTGTGTGTGTGTGTGAAAGAATTTGAACGACGCATGTGTGATATGTCAGGCAATACTTGAGCCGGAGAAGGAAAAAAAACACACCATTCTTCTTTGGCAGCCATTTCCGAAAGCGCAGGTGTGTTTTGAGTTTCGGCAGATCAAAGTGAAATCCCTCTTTAGATGATCAAACTCCTTCATCAGAGAGCAGGGGATCAATCGGCTACAACATTTGATCTCTTGATTGTGTTTAAATGTTGGAACTGAAGTCGTACTGAACTGGTAGTGAGGTAGAAAGTTCAACAGAGGGCGTTACACTCCCCCCTTTTTTTGTTTTTTTAAAAAGCTGTCTGTGTCCACCTATTCCATTTCCACATTCCATCTCTTTTTTTTGGCTGATTTGATGTAATTAACACTGATTTTGTGTCCCTTCCATCCAAAAATGGACTTTTCTGCCTCTGAATTTGTTAGTTAACCCCCCCACCCAGTTCCCAATTGTCTTTATCAGTTTCTCACAGTAATATGGAAAATGCTGCTCCTCTAAAATGGGAAAAACTCCCAAACACGATCCGTTTGACCTCTTGACCCATGTTACCAACAGATTTTTTTCCAGATTCCCCCCTCCAGAACCACAAATCACCAAAATGGCCTGCCACAGTTTTAATCTCAGAACCGTTTTCCAGTCGCCTCTCGAGTTCTGTCAAAACAGAGTATCTAATATCGGCAGAACGCAGAACTCCGGTCTCTGCTTGCATCCGCGGAAGCTTAAAGGCTTATTTTTGCCTGACACGTTCCACCATCCCGCACGGCAACAGGGCAAACGCTCGTGAGGCCCCTTTCGGATTTTTTTCCAGGCTCTTGGTCCGATTCATCTTTTCGCCTGAACGTCATGCGGTTTGATCAGAAAAATGTTTTCCCTCTCGCCCTTTTAAAAAAAATATATATATATAAAAAAAATTAGTTCTGGCCTTCAAAATGGGACGCTACCCCGGAGAAGGAATATTTTCATTGTTGTATTTTCAATGTTTTGGCCGATAACCAGCACCAATCATTTGCACTATGCTGAAACCACAGACTCCACAGGGATATATTCTAAGAAATGAACTACTCAAAAAGTGTTTTTCTGTTTCCCTTTTTCTGTTTTTCTGAACCTGTCTTATTTCTATCAATGACTGCTTCTAGTCAAGCCATACTGCAGGCCATGCTACTTCTCTGGACTTCTGTGACCTTTCATGCTGTCAAACTGTCAATGATAATACACTCTGGCTACGAGGAACTTTTAAAAACCGACTGCCACTTATTGCTAGGTGTATCGGTACGAGTTCCAACTCTCACGACCACCAAAACTAGAAAAAAAACTTGTATAAGTTAGTCGAAGCATATCAAATAGCTCTTGTAGGATCACGGGGAGGGGCTGGAGCCTATTCCAGCTGTAATTGGATGATGGGGTGAGAAAAAATTGTTAATGCAAACAAGAGAAATTGCTTTAACATACTCTGGCGAGATGTTTTTCGGATGATTTTGCTTTAAACTGAGGGATTTTCAAGCGGAATCCGAAACGCCCTCGTTTCAACCGGAGGTTTTCGAACCGGAAACTGTTAAAACGCGATTGAAAAACAAACCAATTCACTGTCCTTCCAAAATGGTAGACGCTGGTATCCTTCATCATGCACAAAGCCAATGGAATCACACATACATATAAATGTTCCACTGAAAAAAATAAGACAAAACAGGTACTAATCGCTGACTTCTACGCTAACAAGACAGCAGTATTTGCAGGCCGTGGTTCCCCAGGATCATAAAACGTCTGGCTGCAAAAAAACACAGGATTTCTCCGATTTCCAAGTGTGCTTTTCTACTTTTCAACACAGAAAATATACAGCAAATGGGCACGGGAAACCCTCCACATGAGCAGTAATTGGTGTAATTCAGATGTCGGGCGCAGTCTAATATTGGAAAAATGACTGTAGGATAATTATGTGTTGCTTAAAGGGAGGATCTCTTTTGGTTTATTGATGAGAATTTGACTTTTGCTCTCCCAAAAAGCATATTTTAGACTCCGGCGAATGATTCATTTTCAGACTTTCTACTTGTTTCGTCGTATTTCAATTTAGTGAGATCATAAAGTGGTCCGGGGACCTTCTAAATTGCACTGAAAAGGTAAATTTGTACATATCAACCGACTGGTGACAGCAATGTGATGTCGGTCCAGAGAAAAAAAATTAACGAGTTACACAGTTTAGCCATAAAAAAATAGTAAAAATACGATTCCTCCCTTTTCCTCGCCTTCCAGATGGTTTTGCCGGGGAGTATTTACGAGGGATAATAACAACTACAACTCTGTCTCTTTAGGAGCTTAGATATCAGACACTTTGCAATAAATCTTCTAGAAATATTTAAAACTGTAAATAATATCGGGCCGTTTAGGAAATACCCCGTGTGGCACAATAAAGAAAAAAAGGAGCTAAACGGGAATATGATGGAAAAAAGTTGGATTCGTGACAGGACATTAGTACAAAGAGAGAAGATATAATATTCTGAGACATATGAAAGCTGCTGTCATCCACACAGTAGCAAACACATGGCTTCAAATCCCAGCTGTGGGAATGAGAGACACATTCTCCCCGAACTATATAAATGCATCCTGTTCAGAAGGCGAGAACGGTTAGGAGAAAGTGAATCATGGGGCCGTTGAAATACGAAGCAGACAAAAAACAACTAAAAAAACCTTCAAATAAATTTACGTCTGTACACTGTCTTTTCCTGAGCTCACATAATGGATCCACATGACACATAAACGCATCTTTTTAGTGCTTTATGTTTATATCAAATGGCAGATGCAGCTTGAAAATCCTCTAAAAACAACCCAAATAGCTGTGTAGAAAAGCCAAATATTCCACAATCCGTCGAAACACAACATTGAACTCAATGAGGTCTTATTATTTCTATTTCAGATATAAAAAATATTGAGGAAAATACAAAAATTTTTGACTTTTTGTTGAACTTTTTTGCTGTACACCACAAAAAACAACAACTTTAGATTGATTAAAGTAGAGGGGTGCTTTTGGGAGGCAATTACTTGGATGCTTGTCCTAGATGTCATCATATATGTTACAATATTTCATACATATTTTTTAATTACGGGGTCTTGCAATTGTTTAAAAATTGACAAAAAAATTCGATTGACACTATCTAATGTTTCTAAACAAAAAAACCACGAATGATTCTATTCATCTTTAGACAAAGTTTTAACCACTATTTATTTAACCTTAATTAAAAGTCCTTTATTTGGAATTAAATAATTCGAAACTATATATTCAATCTAGATTGAATAGACAAAGTGGAGGCAAGTAAGTCCTGAACATCTATGCATCTTACATGAAGTACAAGGTATCAAAGAGTTTTTAAAAAACAGCCTTTTCCTTTTAATTCTTAAAAAAGTTCCTAAAAATTTTGTTTTTGTGTATTGCATCTATTAAATGCAAATCTCATCTAAGGTTCCAGACCCACTTGTTGTTGTGTTTTCTGATTCTCTCAGAAGACGCTAGACACTTAGCGAGAACTTGGAAAGCTGAAGCTCATCCAAGGGGCCAAAAAAAAAAACTCGGACTTCACGTGAAACTACATCCTGCCCTTCATCGGCCGGATTTGTGAGGACCTCCATCGGATTTTAGGCCGGAGCTGAGCTTCGGGAAGATATCTTGAGGAGTCTGGTCTGTAGATGAAGGTTTTTTTGAACTTCTACGGATCTCTTGGAGCTTCCTTGACCTCCTCACATCTGCTGACCGGTATAAATATCTGTCACGTCTCGTGAATACCAGCTGTCTTTTCAGTGGATTTTCAACGGATTAAGGATTACAGGGGGAATGTTACAGTATAGCAAGTTTTTTTTAATGAATAAGAAGGAAAACCTCTCTTTCCATTTCCTCTCTTTCCTCTGTTCCATTAAATTATGAACTCAAAGTGTAAAAAATCAGCAAGCATTAACAGAAAATAGACTTTTCTTTTCTTTAAGCACGATAAAGTGAGGCTTTTTCCATATAATTTAAATCTGATGCATTAATGGAATGCTGTTGAAATTAAATGTATCAATCGGGGGACACTTGTTAGCTAAAAGCATGTTCCTTTTGTGTCATAATACCCTATCTTGTTTCATCCTACTAAGGTTAAGGCAGCAAAAAAAGCCCATTAGCCTAATTCGAGTGTGTTTATTGCATTGTCATCCATCCGTGTCTGTGTGAAACCGAGGAATTCCGGATTATGTCCAGTACAGAGGTAAGAGAGGCAAAGGGTCTGGCTGTTAGTCCATTTTTTTTTAGATGTTATAGTACCAAAGCCTTTATAAACTTGAGCCAGAGCTCTGATGACTGAAACTGTTCATTGCTGCGCAGCAAAAAAAAAACCCCCAAAAAACAAAAAAAAACCTCAGAAATTTCCATCTGACTCATTTCTTAGAGCCAGAAAGTCTGCTTCACAGAGCAATTTAAATCCTGTTTTCCTCTGGTTGATGTGGGACGCTTAAACCTACAAAGCATCGAGACTTAATCCTTTTCTTCCTTGAACCACAAAAGCAAACAAAGAAAGAAAAAGAAAACTCTAAAAATTTGAAATGTACAGACATTCCTCTGACTGGTGCTAAAGCCTGTCAAGATGCTCCACAGTGCATTTATTTTAACAAGCTAAAAACTGGAGTTATTCGTCCCAGGTGTGTCTCCCTGGACATTCTTTTCTTTTTCATTTCTTTTCTTTTCCTTTCTTTCTCTCTTTGCTCGGGGAAATTTGTCAGACGGCATCCTGCCGAGACTTCTGTCAACAGAGGGGCTTTCTCTGGGTCAAGCGTTCGGTCCGGTCAAATGTTTGTGGTGCTTCGCTTCTTTGCTAAATCAAAAGGGATGTCATGCTTTTTAACCCCCCGAGGATTCAGACGAGGAGCAGATAAAAGAGAAATGACCAAGTCTTTTCATGACACATTTAAAAAGCCAACTGAAAAGGAACCATGCCAGTGAAGAACCCCCCAAAAAACCCAATCTTAACCAAAATTTGCTGACTCATCACCTACCTTCTGAGTGTAGTTGCTCCTGCTTCTGCTGCTGCTTCTGCAGAGGGAGAGAGAGCCACAGGAGTTTTTTTGGGGGGGCGCAGACGCTGGAACCTCAGCTTTTTAATCTCCGGGGTGGGTGGGTGGAGCTGAAAAACCAGCCGAGGGGAGAAAAAAAAGAGGCGCACGGGAGGAAAAAAAAAAGGGTTCAAGCATGGCGGCACGCGGAGGGAGAGAAAAACAAGGATACGTGTGATGGGGGAGAATTTGATGTTTGGGGGAGAAAGGTTGGGGAGGGGGGAGAGAGGAAACCTCGCCGTCTGCGCAACTATATATCACGAGGAGGAAGATTCTCGTTTGACTTGGATGTCTCTGCGCGCATTCTTCCCGTGCGGAAAGATTTAAGGGAAGGGTTTTCTTCCCTCTGGTTAGCCGGCGTTTTGCGAGGTCGAGCTTTAGCTAAAGGGGGGAGGTTTTTGCGGCAACTGTAAAACCGACTCTGTGATTATTAAAATAATCGAAGCTCGAGGGTTCAAAAGCCGTAGAGGCTCTAGAGACCGGTCAAACTCGTAGGATTCGCAAGAGAACGGAGTCAGGGCTGTATTGTTTGTGGTTTGGTTTTATCCTTGAGTTCTTATTTTAACCCTGGAGAAAGTCAAATCGGATGCTTTCGTTCAGCCAATCGTGGTGTCACTCAAAAACCTCATTGTTGAAGAAAGTGGGTTGTTAAACTTGGAGGTATGGTTGATATCCCGGTACAATGGTATGGGAATCGTCAAGGATGGCACCAAACGTTAAAGCTCGCAAAGAATTATCACCTTTATTTTGACAATACAATAGATTTCCAAGTGATTTCGGCTGGTTTTGAGTTGGAAAAAAAGACGCACGTAACTAACTACAACAGCTGAAATAAAAATGGCGGACTATACGTAGAACAGCTAACCCAGACTTGTAGAGAAGAATTGAATTAAGCCTACATAGAAAATAGAAGTATCTTTTTGTCTTTTGATAGGATTCGGGTATTTTATTCCCCCCTCAGAAAGTCACGCTAAACGTTAGCTTGATGATGTGTGTTGTGGCAAAGCTTGAGTTTAGCACGTTTTGTGTGTGTTCGCCATGGTATATTGTGTCGATTGTTGGTAGAAATTGCAATCTGATAATGTATATTACATCGATTCGTAGCGAGCACGTTTTTGAGTATCCAGAAAAAGACTTCTCTTTCCTTTGTTGTCCCAAAAAGCGTCTGTATCTGTCCAACCAAATCCCGTTCAAGGAAGGTTAGATACTACTACGACTTCACATTCACCACGATTCATCCATAAACCCTGAAAGTTTGAAGAAAAACATCAGTCTGTGTGTTTTTTATGTGAGGAATAGTTTCCTTCTGAACGCCAAAGACTCTAAAACCAGCGAAGTTAAGCACAAGTTAAGGCAGCCGCTCAAATTTACCCTCCTGTGTAACTTCCCCCCCCCAAAAAAACCCCGAAAATATTTAGCTTCCGTCCAAAAATTCTTCACAGCGTGGAAGCAACGTCCGGGGGCGGACGGCGGAAAACGCGGGCCTCCGAACAGCTGCTTCAAATTAGGTGGAATTATTCCTCGCGCTTGTGATTGAGTGGCTATTTTTTGCTCTTCGGTGTGTTCTCATACGGGAGTTTGCTTAGAAAGAAAACACTTCGTGCCCCCCAGTCCCCCGCAGACTGATTTCACGGATGGCTCGTTAAAGTTAATCGCAATAAAAAGAGTTATGACTTCACCACTGGCTCGAGGTGGACGTGAAGACGGTCATTTCAAAAGGAAAACATAGTTTTTTTTTCCCCCAGTTCTGCTTTTAAACAAAAGCCGAAACCTATTGTTTATTTTTCCGTGGATCACACATCAGAGATTGCTCTAAGTTCTAAGGCTGGGGAGTCAAACTCTGTTTTCCCAGGGGAGAAGAAGAAGAAGAAGTAGAAGCGGTCAGTTGGATGGAAACATTGACCTCATACCTGTCTGCGTGCAGAATTCCTGTTGGTGTAGTTATTAGCCTGTCACTTAGATCTCATGGCCAAGTTGCCTCAAAGGCCTCAAAGGCTCACGCAGCCCTTTAAAATTGCTCTTATTACATGTTTTCCCATTCCTCAATCAGGTTTTTTTTATTATTTCAAGTTGGCAGCGAGTAGAACTAACAAACACAACGGGAATCGGAGCCGTGTTCGGGATCTCGTCGGTACTTTCTGTTAAAGTCGTACATTGGGATTAAAGTCTGAGCCCGAGAGTTGTTTTTCTCAGGTTTCTCTTGTAAAAAAAAAGAAGATATATATATATATATATATAATTTCTCTGGCATCGGAGGGAAACATCTCGACTAATGCTTCAATAGCGATAAAAGAAATGACCAAAGTGTGAACAATCCAGTTGGCATCGACACGATTTGCTGGAAGGAAAATACGTTTTTGGATGTCGTGTGCTCCGAAATAACACAAAAAAAGACCTGAAACAAAGTCTCTGCTTCTTGCAGGCTTCACATCTTCTTGCAGTAGGCTGTGAAAACAGTCTGAGCTTGGCAGCTGACGTCGTGAGATGACAGACCGGCTGAAAATTCAGCCTCTTGGATTTCCCTGTTATAGCACGGAGTGAAATGGCAAGAGTTAGGACTGGAATTAGGACCTCCAGCCAATAAAAATGACACTAATCATTCTGGCTGTGTTCAAAAAAATGTCCACGGACTTAAAAAAAATTGATGGTGAAGATATTTTCTGAAGTTACGAGAGCTCTTTCTTGCTTTTAAATGAACAAGCCAGTTCATTAAAATACTAGTTCCAGTTCTTCTCTTCCAACTTTATCATCATTATTGATTGTATCAGTTATCAGTGGATTATATGTGTCTTGTTTTTGAGCCTATCTATTGTGAATTTTCTAATCTCATAGATATTAATGCTATATATTTCTCCTAGAAGGTTACTCACTGCAAAGTTTTGCTTTAATAAACTCTGAAACACACAAAACAACTAACTTATGACCGGTAATTTCAGTTAACATCAATAATTGTACCTTTTTTACTCTTTTCTTGTCGACATTTGATTGACAAATCGATAGTTTAAAGTTCTAATTACGAAGTTTTGAAAGAGCTTACGATCGGAACCACCACTAAAGTTCCCTTTAGGGGTTTTCGAATGCCTTTCAGCAAGAATAATTCAATTCAAATGAGAAAATGATGGCCTGTTTGGACAGTAAGTGGATAGACTCATCGAGATGTCACCCATTGGTAGAACGAGAGACGTTTGGTACCAAACGGTGGCTATTTGTTGTTGTAAAACAACAAGACACTGGTGGTCAGAACAAATTCAGCCTCTTTAAGTTCAGAAATACTTGAATAATCCCAGAGGGAATTTATTATTATTATTATTTTTAGTGTTTCTTCACAAAATTGACAATTTAATGACCGATTCCTACATCATTACCAAAGGAAACCATGCAGAAAGCTCAGTGATGTGCGCGCACACTGATCAGATCTGAATATTTGCCAAAAAAAGGGAAAGTTTTTGCCCGGAGATTTGAAATGAGAAGGACAGAATCAAAGTTAAAACCGTCTCTCAGGTCGGGGAGCACACCGACTGGATCTGTTCTCTCTCCACAACGGGCCTAGCTTGAAAGGCTTTTGGCTCGGTTCTCCACGGACCCCGTTACATGATGTCATTACACGAAACGCCGCAATCCAAACATCACTTCCAGCTGTGGGGGAACAAGGCCCGACAGTCCCAACCAGGCTAACACATGTGTACATAAAGGTCCTACATGGGCGATTGCCGTCTGGACGACTTCCTCAAAGCGAAAACTAGCAAAGCGCTCACATAGCAAAGCAGTTACATCTGAATTTTTTTCTGTCTGCTCCCTAATCCGCTCGTCTCGGAGTCTTGTTTTTGGGTCCGATGTTTCCCCCTCCGTCTTTTGGAGGCTGCTTTTCGTTTAGCTTGGCAGAGGGACTTGTGAGGGAGGGGGGGAAATGGAGGAGAAAGGGGGGATTCGAAACGCTGTGGAGTTGACATTTGTTTGTCTTTTTAAAGATGATGGGACATTATGGAGTCATTACATATGAAGTTCTGCTCCAACATGTGCAGAAAGATAATAAAAATCTACAAATGCAAAGCTCCACTGGTGGGTCACTACATAAATTTAGCTCGGTAGTGGTTTAAATCAAAATATAATCAAATTCTAGCATTTCTGAGCTGAATACCACTCCCGGGACCAACTGTGAGGGACCAGACTAAATCAAGGACCATGGTCTTCCAAAAATAAGACAAATTTCAATTTAATAATATAAAAAAAAGATAACAAAATGTCATACTTCCATAAATTACAACTAAGATTATAAATAACCCAACTGAGGTCAACTAAACACAAACCAAACTGACCTCCAGACCCCTTAAATAGGGGTGGACTATCCTAAACTTCCCACATGAGGGAGGAACATCATAGAAATACATTAAACACAAAATCTAACAAAAATAGAAGCAAAATCATGTTTAACTTAATACAAATAATATATTAAAATAACAAAATAAATCAGGGCTCAATTGAACTTAGCTTCAAAATGGAACACTCCCCCCCTCAGTCTTTGGTACAATGGTTTCTTCCAAGGCTTCCACCTCAATAGGCCTTTAATGGTGGTGGTAGAAGGAGCAGCCACCACATATCCCAACAATTCAGCTTTCTGTGCAAAATCTGTACTTGTGTTTGATTAGCAAGAAAATAAAAAGGCTTTCCAAAAAGTATAATACAGATTTTTAATATGGACATTGCTCAGAAAGTTAAAAATATCCATGAACATGTAGGCAGAACAGCCCCTGTATAGCATGCTAGCTAGGTCGGACAACTTTTTAAAAACACAACCCGGATTGTTGTTTTTTTGACAGGTTTGTTCAGTTTATTTATTTAGTCACAAGTCTGTTTTCCTTGGCTAGTGTCAGTCACATGACCAGCCAACCGAAAGCCCGTCAGGTCCCCTTCGTGCCCCAGGAAAAGGACAGTCCGGGGGCCTTAACCTCGATCCCCGATATTTGATGTGGTCTTCAAGTCTGCATTAATATGTTAACTTGTGTCAGGTGTGTGGATTAAAGTTTGAATACATCCCTCTCTTTTCCGAGATATCCACGTTGACGTGGTTAAAAACTAAATTTATCATTTTATTTTGGTTGAATCCACCTTAAAACATAAGCCTAACATCGCTTCAGTTATCTCTTCACGCTCCTTTGTGTTTAAACTCCCTGTATCTCTCGCTTTTTATCATTTCCCGTGTCACTGTTTCTTACTTTTTGTGCCCTTTGTTTTCCTTATCGACTTTTCCAGTTTCGCTTTTTGTCTTCCAGCATTTTCTTGGACTACTTTCAATTTAAGTGTTTCCTATTGGCTGTTTTTTAAATTTTTTTTTTTGGGATACACCTTGATTCAGTATTTCTCTTCAGTATTCAGCAACCACCACTTAACAGTGATAAATAATTTATTTTTCGACTGATCTTAATTAATTGATAGGTTTTCTTAAAAAAAATTGTTGTTGCCAGTGGAGCAAGTCTTTTATCCTTCATTCAGTCTTTCTTTTGGCAATACAATTAAGCATCCAGACAGCATATAAACAAGTGAAAAAGAGGGTTTAACAGCAATTCCTCTGTGTGGATTCTGGATTTATGCTCCAAAAGCAGTTCACGTCCAGGGGATCCAACAAATATTGACTTTGAACGCCGAACAGCTCTTTGACTCTCCATTCCCACACTCGGCTACCCTAATATGGCAAAAGGGACGATTAAAAAAAGCTTAAAATGAATTTGCAAAAGGCGTTTGATTGCTTAAGGTCAAAGGTTGAACAGAGCTAAATGTTACGGTGGTGGATAAGGAGGCTGGACCCAAATGCAGAATCAAAACGTAACAAATTTATTTGCACAAAAACAAAAGACGCCTTTCGGGATCTTGAAAACTGAAAACACCTCTAGGAGGGAAAAAACGCAAAACCCCAAAACACTTGGGGAAAAACCAAAAGTGTCCAGGATCAAAACTCACTGGAAAAAGTAATACAACAAGAAGGGACTCAAAAATATACTTAGCGGTGGCGACTACTCGAGAGCAAGGATCAATGTGACACAGCAGCATTCAGAGGAATCGTCTGACACCGGTGAGTGTTTGCCATGGGCTTAAAAAGCAGACTGATTGGCAATGTCCTACAGCTGGTGGAACCAAGCTCCCTGCTCTCGAGCAGCTCCGCCTCAACATCCTGCAGAGGAAATAACAAAATAAGACAACAGGAAACACAACCATAACACTAAAAACTACTTCAATACTCTACCTACATTTTTCACTGTTTAGCTCCACTGAATTGTGATTTTTTTCTTTTTTAATGCAAGTACTGCTGGATGTTTTGCACATTTTGGGAAGAACAGAAAGCTTGTACACATAAAGAGAGATTTCTGCCAAAGAGTGTATTTCTAATCCAAGTCCAGATGCATTTCTAACCCTTAGCAAGATTAATTAGGTGCCAAAGGTTATGCACAAGGGACTTTTAAAGCCCCAAAACATGTTTTTTTTGTTCTATTTTTCACCTTTGTCTGTTTTTGATCTAATAAAACCAGATTGGCCTCACTAGACGTAATAATTTAGGTTTGAGCTGCTTCTTTTTCAAGGCACGCTTTGGAAAACATAGAACTAATGATCATCTTCGTAAGAGCATGGCAAAAGCGGGGTAAAAAATCAAGGACCATTAATAAAACATTTGATTTTATCAACATAAATTCCTTATGTAGTTATGTAGTTACTACACAACCATCACAAATTAAATACTACATTGTAGTATATTAAAAAAAAATCTATATAGACAACAGTTATTTTGATCATAGAGGTATTACAGGTCATCTTTAAAACAAAAACAAACAAAAAAAAAACAAACAAAAAAATTGGAGAAAAAGGGGGGAAATTAAAGATTTAAAGGGGCATTGAAATACCTCAAAGTTATTCTAATGGCCAGAAAATGTCTTATTTAAGGTACCTTGTCTGAAAAATTGGAATATACCAAGCACAGTCAAAGGTAGGGGGGGACTAAGAACTAAATTCTTGTCTGTCATCCATGTAACACTGTTCAGAAAAAAAGTAAAGGATCAGTTTCACATGAATGATGAACACTGGTCGCCACCAGAACTTTTTAAACCCTTCGGAAAGCAGCATTCAAACTCTTCTTCTGAGGCGATTATGAGACTATCTTATTGTGGGTTTTCAGAAAGACCACAGAGCCCAGTTTTTTTTTTTTCAGTACGTGGGCAAAACCATTTGCAATAATATATTTGATTCTGGCTCAGTCATCCATTGGAAAATTGCATTTTTGAGCTCTGGAAAACAGATTATTGAGCCAAAAATACTGTTTATCAAAAGGTTTAAAAGCCCACATCCGGACGGGATGCAGACCATTACGCGCGTGTGAGCTTTTAATCAGTTTAAAATCGAAGAATAAAGTGTTTTAAGAGTGATTTAACATAGATAAAGCAGGTTTGTGATGTACCTGTGCTAGCCCAGGTCAACAAATTAGCCCAGACCTGGGTTCTGGGCATATTTGATCATTTTGTACAAACGAATAAGCTGGCAAAAACTGGAAAAATGCAAAAAAAGGTTTAAGATTTGAAAAAAAAGGCATAATTTTCCAGAATCAGACTATAATCAAGTGAAATAACCTGCCAGTTCAGTAAGATAAAAACACTAGCTGAGATTTATTTAAAAAAGGGAACATGTCTTGGCTTTAGAAAAATCTCGGTTTTCATTTGAATTGACTTTGTCCTCCTCTATGTGTTGTTCTCCTTATATTTTTTAATGATATATGACTTTTTCTTGTTGTGCTGCTGTAAATTTGGGAAGTTTTTCCACTCTAATACGAGAAGTTTTCAGGTTCTGAAGCATTTTTTTTTTAAAAAGGGGGAAATAATACCTGAATTGAATACCTCAAGTTTAATTTGAATACAAATGTTGAAGAGGTTTGGTGAACATTTGACCTACACTTGTTGGAATTAAAGCAAAACGCTTTAGAGTTTATATGTTAATCTTTATTTACCCCACCTGTTACTGACCCAGCTTTGATTTCTGCGGAAACTGGATCCAAAGAGTACCAAACTGACTTGTTTCTGTCAACTGTATACAACACAACTGTCAGAAAACAGATGATGATCTTCGTTTAGGGACCTTTAACTGGATGAAAACACTTCTATTCGGATTTGTTTCCGTTTTTGAGCCCATTTAGAATTTACACGAGATGAGATTCTTCGTAATTGTCACGTCTGGGGGAATGTCTGGTGTCTCGTCATGTCTTGATTACCTATTGTGTACACCTGGGGTTCCCTTCCCTCATGTGTTTAAATAGTCCTCGTTTCCCATGTCCTGTGCCAGTGCGTTTTCGTCTTTCTGTTCTCGTCACCCCTCGCCACGTCAGGTTTGATTTTTGTCACAGCCATGCCATAGCCTAGTTTACTTTATTGCCATAGTCTTGTTTTTGTACCATAGCCATGTTTTTGCCATAACCTTGTTTACCTTATTTGATAGTTTGTTCATGTTTTTGTCACAGCCATGTTTTTTCACAGTCATGTAATTTTGCTTTGTTACTTTGGTCATAGTTTTTTCACAGCCTTGTTTTGTACCATCCACTCCTTTTGAGTGTGTGTTTTTGTTCAAATAAACCCTTGTTTCCATATCTCCGCGACTGAGTCCTCCCTCCAAGATCCACCTCATGACAGTAATGGTCAAGTACATCGAAATGGGTAGTTTCAGAAAAGCAACGTTTGCTCGTTTTGCTGTGTGTGTGGAAGGAAAAACACATTTAATTGAATCTGTTTTAGAACCAACAGTCAACAGATGATGGATATTTTATGTTTTTTGGACTGGGGAGAGTCACAGGGTGTAAATAAATGAAGTTATGTTGGATTTGGACAAGCCTATTGGTGATGTCTGTGGATGAACAAAACACTCTGAGCACCCATGCAGTTTTCCTTTTTTCCTCTTTTAATTAAATAAAGTTCACAGTTTTTTTTTTATTTATTTTTCTTATTTTGTTTTATTTTCTTCTTTTATTTATTTATTTATTTTTATTTTAATTATTTTTTTTATTTATCTAAAAAAAAAGGTTAAAAAAAGTTCCAAGTTTCTGTTTTCAGAACACTTTATGAACACTGACTACACCCCCCTCCCCGGCCTTTTTTCTGTCTTTAAATTTCACACGCACAACAGGCATCTGAACATTTTTTCATTTCTCTTTTTACATAAAGCTCAAATTTGCCGATAAACAAGTTGAATAAGTTGAATGTACTTGGAGTCTCCTGCTTTTACCTCACTTGACACGGTTTTCCTGATAGAAAACATACCTCAGATTACACCCCTTCTTTTTTTTTTTTAGGCCTGTGGTTTGGCTTGGCCCGTCAGAAACCGCACGAAAGAGACGCATGCTCCTGGGAAGTGTGTGTGCTCCCCCCCCACCCCCCCGGTTTGGAATTTCAGTGGCCAGGATTCACACTTCGCCTCCACGCTGAGATCCGTGTGCGCTCCGGCCTCCGCCAGACTTGGCAACGGCCTTGTTCGGACATGTTCCCCCCCCCCCCACCATTCGTTCTCGCAATTTATTTTTTACGGGGTTTTCTTTGGCAGGAGAGCGCGGCTTCTCGGGGTCCAAGTAAAACAGAAGCCTAACCGGGGTGGGGGGGTGGGGGTGGGGGGGCTAACAGGCCAGAGGCTGAAACCGAATCACTTTGTCACACCGTAGAAGGACGGACGCTGGCTGGACGACACTTTTTGACCCTTTCGCGAGGGGTTTAAGGGGCTTTAATCATGGAGGAGTTGTCCATCGGCCCCTTTATTTTGCATAAAACATAAAGAGAAAATGACCAAGATTATAAAATGCCACCTCAAAGGCAACTAAAGTCAAAAGTCCATTATCATTTTGTTAAAATTAAATTTTTGTGTCAAATAACTCTTTTATTACTGAGCAAAGTTATTTTATTTTGTGTTTTGGGTCATTTTTTAAAACTGTTGCAGCAGGTTTTAGTGGATATGAGTCTTAAAAAGCAAATAAATAGATATAAATAACATTTAAAGGTATTCAAAAGTCAAATATGTTTCTCTCCCGAGACACTGAACATATTTCATGAGTCTTAATGTGTTAATAACCTTAACATTGCCCTCTTGTGGAAGCTAGCAAACCTGTTAGGAATCTCTTCTGAAAACTAAAGCAGAGGGATTTTCTCAATTTTTTTTTCTTTTACCAAATCGGGGGAGTGGTCGGGGAGCCACAGGGCGAAAAAGACTCTAGGAATTCGTATCAGCCCACAGTCTCTCGGGCCGGGATCCCAGCTGTCTGCTCAGGGCCGTCCGTAAACAAGATCCGGTTTCACAAATTGACGTATTTGAGGTAACGTTCCACGTTCCTTCGCCTCCTTTTCGAAAACGCAGACCGGGGGGCTTCCAGGGCTGGCAAACTCGGGCCGTGAAACCTTGGAAGAAGCACACAGCCTCAAAGATGAACACACTAATAACGTCAAAAGAATTGAAATAATGATATAAATTGACAAAACCTTAACGATTTTCGTTCTTCACGACGAGTTCAAGGGAAAGGAAAGCTGATTTTGAATCATATTAGACTGTTAAAGATCTAATAGAGGGATGTGGACTTCATACCCACCCTGAGCTTATATTACTTTGGTCTTGGCTGGGTCATTGTGTTTGACCATGAGACAAAAAATAATAATAATTCTACTTGGAACGGTAATGTGCATTTAGCTGAAAGGCGGGGAAAAAGGAGACGTCTCATGTCAGGTAGTCGGGATAAAAGCCAGGATATAAATGATTTCCTCAGACTCCAGGCAAAGTCAAGGTCCACTCCCTTACAAAAAACCCCCCAAAAAACCCAATTTATTTTACAAAAACTGTAGAGAGATGCTAGCAACTGAGAGATGCTAGCATAGTTGACACATCTATCTCACAGTTGTCCTAATATAGGTACGCTAACACAACCATAGCTGTAAAAGAAAAGCAAGAAACGATGAATACATGCACTGAAATTTGACTATAACGTTCCTTATAAAGATAGTTGAAAGTAATAACTCCACATTTATTAAATGAGCTGGTCAATGATGACAAAAAGCATCAGATGCCAAAGAGGAAACATCAAATCCCAATCATGACTCGGCATTATTTCGAACATACAATCTAGTTTTCTGTATTCGAAAAATGGAAGCAAAGGACCTTTTCTGACTGGGGGTGTTTGTTTTGGCCTTGCTAACACATTTATTTCCCGTAAAAACTCTGATTTAAAGGCAGCCTCTATATAAGTTGGTTTAAAATAGTTGAAATGGATGAACATTATGTCAAATCTTTCCATTTTAGAAAGTTGTATTTGGTACCAGATATGACCAAAAATTGTATTTTGATGTCTTTTTTTTCAAGGCAGGACCATTCTAGTAATGTCAGATCCTCGAAAATAAACTATTATTCATGCAAAAAAAATGCCATACCCACATGTTTTTTTTACAATTTAAGCTTCCCCAGAATAGCTACTATAGTAACTACTTTAGTTTGTATAATCGGAGGACGTCGATACGTCTTCGACTGTTCACTTTATCCACTTTCTATAGGCCGTACGATCTTTTCTACAATTGCCCTTTTCCAGAGTCTGTTTCCATTTTCACACTAAACCAGGATTCAGATGGGAAGCAATTCCCTTCCATCAGAGCCAAACGGTGCTCCCAGAGCTCTGGTTTTTCTCCGTCTCGCCTTCCTTTAGATTGTTGGGTCATGCAAAAATCCAGTGAATGCACCTCTTTTTTTTACCCCGAGAATCTGGAGAATCTCTTCGATAGTTCAGATACTGTACTGGATCTTTATCTGGAAAGTGGAATGCAAGTAAGTAACAACAATCTTGGCAGAAAAGTTTAGGTTGACATTTTTTTGACCTGTTCTATGGTGATATGTTGTTGAAGCTTTCATCCATCTTCAGCCTAGTGTTTAATTTTTGACATATTTCTTTACTTTTGAGGACAAAAAAAAAAACTGGAAAACCTCATTTACGCTGGTTCTTACCTTCTAGCCGGGGTTGTCTTAATCTGGGCGACCTCTTCTCGTGGACATGTTCTATCTTCTATCTCGGCCTGTATGTGGGCTAGTCACAGAAAGAATGGGGGGAAACAAAAAAAAAGACAGAGCATGACAATATTTCGTGTCACATTCTCGTTACAAACTATCAAACCTCGCATTGGCCAAGGTCTTTTGCTTGAAATTGTAAAATCCAGGGTTTCCACCGCCTTGTTTTTTGAGGAATATTCCCCAGAGCAAGAGAACGTAAATCCACTACTTTTGAGTATAATACCACTTTGGAGGCGTTCGAAAATGGTCGTAAATGTCGTAGCAATGATAGAATTACGATGATATAATAACGATGCTGGCTCACGCTCATTGGCCAGCTGGGAACAAAATACAAGGCCATTACTCATCCAACACCAGAAGGTAATTTGTGGTTTCGAGACGGTTCTCGGTTACGTATCCGTCGTCTCAACTGGACATCGGCACGTTTACGACGGCGACCGGAATGTGGCAGACCGGCCTTTTATATCGGTAGGGTGGTCAAGATACAGCACCTTAAAGGGTTTCGATGTTTCCCTGCTCGATTCAGGTCAGGTGTGGAGGAAAAAGGAGTCTTTTGAAGAGATCTACTCAATCTGGACCTTCGGGATAGCGACGCTTAAAGACTGGAATCTAACTTCTAACGTCTTTTGAATCAGGTCCTTCTTTTGGTTACACACAACTTTATACGTAATTTTTGCTGATTTGTGGAGATGGTCTTTCAGCCACTACAATAAACCGGCCAGAAAAAATGGGAATACCCCCTTAAAAAAAATATTTAAAGAAAAAAAACTTTTAAAAATACCTCTTTTCATTACAAACTGATCACTGGCTTATCCCAATACCAATTTTTCAAGACTCTCTCCTGTCAATACCCTCTTTCTTGCTCATGATACGTCTCAAAACCTACCTGCTCTCAATACCCGGCACACTCTTTATATTATTGTAAATTGCTATGTGTAACATGCTCGACTTTTACATACAAAAAATTACGTGAATGTAATTCATTTTGCACTCACGAGGGAAAAGTCCTCAAGTATATATCTCAGCGGTCTCTCCGAATTTGTTGCCAGTTTTGATTTGGTCTCTTGAATTTAACATATCGGACTGAAATGTAAACGTTACCCCCAACAAAACCTACGGGTCAGTGTTTTTTTTTTCTCAAGAGAGACTCACTTTTTGTTGACCTCAAGCCAGTACCGAATTTCTAGACACTCAACGTGGGGATTATCTTTTGCTATGTTATATAAAGAGTCATTAGGAGCCAATGTGGACAGGAATCAGTCTAAAATAGTCTTGGTGTGACTAAATATACTTGAAGCTTGGTGGAAATGTGTTGAAACTGTTCCTAAAACCATGGCTGATGAAAATAAGTTATATTTCCTTAAATATATTCCTGTAAGCCACTGTATCTGCTAGTGACATCACACTCCACATGATGATTAAGGATACACGTGGTTCAACCCTGGATATCTCCACTGGATATCTCCACTTTCAATTCAGTTCAATTCAAAGTACTTAATTTTGAGAGTTTATGGAATAAAAACAAAACAAAGATAGCGTTTCGTTTTTCAGAAAACCTACACTCAAACTTACAAAAAACTGCAATCATCTAGAAGCTATCTTAATACACAGGTCACTCCAAACCTGTGATCCACACCGTTCCTACCATTGCTTCAAGATGGCTGCTAGAAAAAGTGTATTTTGGTCAAATACACTTTGGCCTCTGGTATCTAACCTGTTAGAAGACGGGAAAACATTTCATCCTAAGGTCAGGGGTGTCCAAAGTGGGTCCATGAGGGCTGCTGTCCAGCAGGTTTTAAATGTTTCCCTGCTTCATCAACAAAATAAACAAAAAAAAAGCAATATTTTCCCTTTTTTTTTTAAACTTCTGCTCACCAGAATTGACATTTATCAATCCTTGTGCGTAAACACTCACATTTGGCCATTAAAGAAGCATTAAATGCACATCACATCTACTTTTGAACCGCGATTTGGCGGAAACAGTCCAGCCGGCTTCCGTCCCACCAGAGTTATTGCTCCCAGCTGGGAGGTTTCAGAACTGGCTGCTCTTCTTCTTTTTAAACAGCAGGCGGGGACAGAGCCCTAGCAGTATTTTTCTCCCATCATCCGGGGCCATTTTTGCTAAGTTTTACAGAGATGAAAGAGCATTCAACGGTCAGAAATCCACATTTTGACTCAAACTGAGACGGCATTATCCCTATAGTGGAGCTATTTGAAAATGCTTTAAATAAAACATATTTTTTTGTAATTTTACTACTGAGAACACAACATTTTAGAGGTGGATATTGCTGATTTATGTTATTCTTCCTTATGTTCATATGACAGGTTTGAGCATTGGACTGTGGGCTTGAATTTAAATACATTATTATTTTAGCAAAAAAATAAGATATTAGGCACGCTATTGCTGAAATGCACAGCCTGTTGGTCACTCTGGCAACTTTGGACACATATTATGGTGCATAATAGTGACAACAAGGAAGGTGTTAAGCTGTTCGAAAAGCTAGTTGTGCTTTTCAAAGTCCACGTGGGACCTGGAATAAGACCCCAA